CTGTCTCAGTTCCCTGCCCTCTCAGCACACATCAAGGGAGGTCTCTCTACCATGCTTCCATTGCACACTGTTCTTTTCCTCCCTCCCGCTTATTATAATAAATATAATTCATTCATTATGTAATTATTTGTTCACTGTCTGTTTTCCTTGATAGAAAATTTCAAAAGGGAAGAGACCATGTCTGCCTTGATCCCTGTTGACACATAGTAGGAACGTGATGGGTAATTAAAGAATGAATTTTCACTCCCTCTCTAGGATTCTCTCTGCTCTGAACCTCCACTCTTGGCTCAGCCTGTCCCCTGTGATGGCAGCAGTCCACCCCCAGCACGCCATTAGTAATAAACTAACACAGATCCTCCATGAATCCTTACAAATCAACCCAGAATCACTCACCACCCCCACATAACCTCAGATCATGAGTCTGCTCCCTCATTTGGATGTCCATCTCCTGAAAGGTATACATGTAATCCCTGTACACAAAGTCAGTGTTAAGGTAAGATGAACCGCCTAACTTACAATAATGCGTGATAACTATATGGTGTTGCATACATTTTAGTGCATTACCCATATGACTTAGCTTGTTATTCATAAAGGTTAAATGGCTTGTTCAAGATCTCAAAGTTAGTGATGGAGCTGGCACTGGAGTCCAGTTTCCTACACTCCCTGCCTGTGGCTCCTAACAACTGGTTGAGTCAGCCCTGTGCTGAGATCTGAGGGAAAGAAGTTTACCCAAGAAACACCCTACAGACTGAAGGGCCATGTCACACCCATGGCCATAACTCAAATTTTAGTGGTATCTAAGGAAGGGGGTTTAGGGACAAAAGATATGGGTAAAGGGATTCCTTTCTTACACCATCATCTTCTCCTCCTTGTCCTTCCACACCCAGTTCAAATGTAACTTCCTTCTCTGAACACTCCCAGGATGAACTGTGTTGCCCCCTTCAACAAATAAATATTGACTGGGTTCCGTGCCCCTTGCTAGGACCCAAGAAAACAAAAAGATCAGGACTCCTGGCCCTCCCAGAGCCCCTGGTATCCCCCAGAGCTTGTCTAATTCTGCTCCAACACATTCAGCATACTGAGTATGAATATTTGTTTATCTCCATCACCGAACTGAAAGGGTTTCAAGGCTAGAGACTTCATCTCTCCCCCAGAATGCCTCCCTCCCATTCTGAGTTCAGAAAAAGTATCACAAAAGGAAAGGGATGAAGGAGGAAGGGCAACAGTCCGAGGTAAGTTTCATGGTTTCACAACAAACCACAGGAGCCAGGACCGTGACCACTAGCTTCCTCCATCATAGGTTTGATTTTGTGCACAGGCATTTTAAACAAAGTCCTAACTCCCCACTCCTTGGTAAGTTCCCTGAGGGTGGGAACCACAGTTTATCTAGCTTGCTCAAAGGCCACAATGTTCTACACATTTTGCAGAACTTAATGGAATTCTACCCCATACATTAGGAACAAGTTAGTAGCATAATATGCACTCATGCGATATGAAATTACAGCAGGAAGCACACAAGCCCACAAAAATGAGCTGGTGAACTAAGCAAGATCATCTGCTTTTGCATATTAATGTTTTAAAATGTTGCGACTTCTTGTTCATTCATTTTGACATCTGCCAGTGCTGGAGGAAGAAGCAATAGTAGTCACCTAATTTAATTCCATTCATTAAGTTAACCTCTTTCTTTAACATTTGGAAAATATCATTCTTTGATTGAGGCTGGGAAAAAGAAAAGTCCAATTCATGAAATCAACATTCTGAGGAAGCCTACATTGGGATTCATGGCTGTGAAAACAAACAAACAAAAAAACCTCCTAGCAGTTCAGCAGTTCAGCCATCGACAACTCCATTTTTTGGTGTAAATGCCCAACGAAGCAGTCTGAATGCTGTGGAAGCTAGCAGGTGACCAGAGCATGCTAAATCACATTTGCCTAGATCCCCAGAAGGAACCCTAAAAAAAAATATAGGTCTTATGCCCCAGACTCAAATCTTAACCAAAAAACAACAATGTTGTGGTCTTAATTTGTTGACCAAGTAGCCTCCACCCACTTGAGATGACCTCAGTCCACCGGAGTTAGAAAATCTTTTTTCTTACAGGATAAGTGATTTTCTTGACGTTACGGATAGAGATGAAATAACTCAAACTTATTATACTCTTATGTTAAATTTAGGATTAAGTTTTGTAATCATCAGGATACTCGGGATGCATCTGACATTTAACTGTTCATAAAATTTAAGAACATCTGACATTTAAAAATCTGATGGATTTTCCTTATAATTTCAATTTAAAATGTACATGACTTTAGACTTAACAGCTTGAAGATGAATGTGCATCATTTAATTTAGCATTTATTCATTTATTTGATAATTATTAGGCACATTCTTTGTACCCAGAACTTGAAGAATACAAAGGAGTTAATATGGCATTTTAGGGCTACAAGGGCCCTGTCCTAAGGAAGTTTATGTACTGGTGTTATGGGTTGAATTGTGTGCCCCCAAAACTTCCTATGTCGAAGTCCTAATGGCCAGCATCTCATAAAGTGATCTTATTAAATAGAATCATTGCAGATGTAATTCAATTAGGATGAGGTCATACCAGAATAGGGTGGGCCCCTATTCCAATATGACTGGTGTCCTTTTAAAATGGTAGCACCTTAATCTCTGATTTCTAGGGTCCAGAACTGTGAGACATTAATTTCTGTTGTTTGAAGTCCCCCCGTTCATGGTACTTTGTTATGGCAGCCCAAGCAAACAAATACAACTGGTTCTTTACCCCTTGCCTCTTAGCTCCAAGCCCAGCATTCTCTTTTCTGCTCTGTGATGCTGAGACTGGGACTGCAACATTTATTTCATTTACTCCCTTGTCAGCTGGCGTCCTCTACAGCTATGCCAACAACACAAGGTAAGAGGAGAGAAAAGGGACTTCTTTCTGGTGGCTAGTTTCTGCCGGTATCATACCAACAAGAGCACAGGCTGGTTTCGGTCCCCAGCTTTTCTCTACCCTCCCAACACCAGCCACTCCCATACCCCCTCAGATGTGCCGGCAGCTGGGCCACACCCACCTGGCAGTCAGAGTGCCCGTCTCTGCAGTCCCTCAGCAGCCAGGCTGCACACCACCCGATGCCCAGCCCTGCCCTGCCAGGCGCCTCCCCAGGCCTCCTGGTTCGCTTCATTCTATCCCTTTCCTGCTACTTCTCTGGATGACTTCAGCGTTTGCTTTTGCTCCTTCAGATTTCCAACATGTGTGGAACCAGCTCCCTGTATAAAATCCCTACTATCTGAATTACCCAGTGTGGTCCTGGGTTTTCTGACTAGAGCCTGACTAATTTAGTTTACAATCCCCATGAAGAGACAAATATACTAGAATTCAAAAATATAAGCTAGTCAAGATTTACAATAAATAATGTTAGTAATGGTACAGGTAAACATTCCCAATTTGATGTTGCTGAGAATATAAATGAATTCACATTTTCTTCAGGGGAGTTTGGCAGAATACATCAAAAGATAAAATATACACAGTTTGAGCCCCAAAATCCCATTCCCAGAAATCTATCCTAAGACACTAATCAGATAAATGCTCAAGATTTATATACAAAGATGACCATTCTAATGTTGCTTGTAATAGTTAAAAAAAATCTAGGGCGCCTGGGTGGCTCAGTTGGTTGGGCGACTGCCTTCGGCTCAGGTCGTGGTCCTGGAGTCCCGGGATCGGGTCCCGCATCGGGCTCCCTGCTCGGCGGGGAGTCTGCTTCTCCCTCTGACCCTCCCCCCTCTCATGCTCTCTCTATCTCATTCTCTCTCTCTCAAATAAATAAATAAAATCTTAAAAAAAAAAAAATCTAAAACAAAACTATCTATCAAAAAAGAACCTGTCAGGCGCCTGGGTGGCTCAGTGGGTTAAGCGACTGCCTTCGGCTCAGGTCATGATCCCGGGGTCCTGGGATTGAGCCCCGCATCGGGCTCCCTGCTCAGCGGGGAGCCTGCTTCTCCCTCTGCCTCTGTCTCTCTCTCTGTCTCTCATGAATAAATAAATAAAATCTTAAAAAAAAAAAAAAAAAAGGCTCTGAAGTCCAGGGCGCCTGGGTGGCTCAGTTGGTTCAGCGACTGCCTTCGGCTCAGGTCATGATCCCGGAGTCCCGGGATCGAGTCCCGGGATCGAGTCCCGCATCTGGCTCCCTGCTCAGCGGGGAGTCTGCTTCTCCTTCTGACCCTCCCCCCTCTCATGCTCTCTCTATCTCAATCTCTCTCTCAAATAAATAAATAAAATCTTTAAAAAAAAAAAAAGAACCTGTCAGTTAAATTATTTAATACGTGTGCGCACACGTGCACACACACACACACAATGTATCCTGGGTGACTTAAAATAATGTAGCTCTGTATTTCTCGACATGAAAATATATCCATATTACAGATTGTTAAGTGACAAAAGCAGATTTACAAACACCAGTTATAGCATGAAAACAAAATATGGAAATTAATTGTAATTATTTTGTATGTACCCAATGATTACAAACAGTGATTATTTCTGGGTAGTAGGAATTTAGGTGATCAGGCAAAGTGCCCGTTGCTGGGAGCAAAGAGAAGTGTTCTATTAATAATAATCACATGAATACTTAGAACACTGTTTTAATGTCAATAGAGGCCCAAATACGTAAAAGTTGAAAATTTCAAGTATTTAGGAAAAAAAGTAATCACCCTGCATTTATATTATTTAATCCAAATTTACAAGGGTATGCATCCTTTGATTTTCCTCTTTTCTATTATTTCTCTGTTACTTTCATTTTTCAAGGTGATCCTTATTCACTCAACAGCAAAAACATAATTAGTTCATTCATATGCTAGTTCTTTACTGATGTATCTAATTTGTCAACCAAAGGGGAACAGAGAGCAGTCCCTGTGGCCTAGAGTCAAAACTGCCTTAAATACTTTACCAATCTACTGTTTAAACAGCTAACAGCATATCTGCAGTTTGCAAAGAAACAAAGAAACAATGGAATTACCTCCTGAGACACAAACTCCTCACGCAATGCAAGAAACATCCTGGTCCAGCCACAGGGACAATGGAACCTATAAAAGAAAGATGACTACTGCACCCAAAATGCAACAATGGGTATCAAAGTCCAGTGAGTGCTTTTGCTCCTGCCCTGGGTGTCTGCAGCTCACAGGCTGCCACTTCCCAGTCCCATGAATCTTCAGAACAGGCAAGAGCGGCTGCTTACTGGGAAAAGACCACCGCCCCCTTATGTGAGCCCTCATCCTCACTCCTTAATACAATTTCACTCACAAACCCCAAGTGCATACTAGAAATCTAAAAATAACATTGCTCGTTGGAATTTAAAGGCTCAAAACTGAAAATTTCCCAGGCTTCACTCCAGTAATATTGAAAATGCAGATTCTTTTTTCTACACCAACAGAAGCTTGGGGAATTGGGACTGAAGGCAGTGAGGTCCAGGAATCCATCTGCTCCATGCTATCCTGGGGAGAAGCAGTCACTGCTATTTTGGAAGTTTCAAAATGCTTGGCAAGAGTCTTATAAAAGAACACAATGAACGCTAACATAACACCAGAGAAGTATCCAGGCACTGAAAACCACAAACCAGGTAGAATGACCCAGGAGTCTTCAAGTCACCTGTAACAACCCTTGCAAATCAAGATATACCAACTCACAAAAATGGGTTTTAACCAGCATCCTTTTTCCTGGTGGTGGTTCACTGATCATATAGAAGAGTAAATTACAGCTTTAATTCATTATTTTCCCCATCATAATTTACACAGTCAATCAAAGTTTTCTTAGTATCTCCCATGTTTAAAGCACCATGTTAGGGCTTTCTCTCAAAAAATCTTGCCTTACAGTCTAGTGAAGGGGGAAAGAAGTGTACGGAAATTGTACAATAAGTCAAGAAAATAAAATAAATAAAAGGCATAAATATTAGAAAGGAAGAAGTAAAACTTCTTTATTAGCAGATGACATTATTATGTACCTAGAAAATTCAAAGTAACTTATCTATAAACAACTATTAACAGCTAATATGTGAATTAAGGGTTGGAAACAAGATACAAAGTTAGTATATAAAAACCAGTTATATTTCTATATACTATAAATCAATCAGATAAAGATATTTTAAAAATAATACCATTCATATTGACATAAAAAAATCAGATACATAGGACTAAATTTAACAAGATATATGCAAGAATTCTACACTGAAAACATTGCTGAGGCAATGAAAGAAAACCTAAGTAAATGGAGAGATATACCATAGGTATGGACTGTTAAGACACCAATTCTCCCAAATTGACCTCTACATTCAACAAAGTCCCAGTTAAAATCCCAGCAGGTATTTTTTTTTTTTGATAGAAACTGACAAACTCATTCTGAAATTTATATGGGAATTCAAAGGACCCAAAATAGCGAGGACAATTTTGAAAAAGAAAAACAAAGGTGGTAGGTTTAAAGTTCCAAACTTAAGACTTACCATAAAACTATAGTAATTAACACAACAGTCAAAAAACTTGAACAGGCACTTTAAAAGAGAAAATATCTAAATAGACAATAAGCATATGAAAATGTGCTCAAAATCATCATTCATCATGGAATTAAAACCACATGCCTCATTAAAATCACAACGAGATACCACTACACATAAATAGAATAAAAAAGACGTATACCATCAAATGATAGCAAGAATGTAGATCAACTCTCAGATATTTCTGGTGAGAATGTAAAATGGCACAACTCCTTTGGAAACTGTTTGGTGGTTTCTATTAATGTTAAACATATGCCTACCCTATAACCCAGCAATCCAATCCTAGGTACGTGCACAAGAAAAAGAGGGATTTGTTCAAGAATATTTATAGCATTTTTTCATAATTGTGAAAAACTGGAAACAATCCAAGTCTCCACCAGCAGAAAAATGTATAAACAAACTGTTACATATTCATACAATGGAATTCTACACAGCAATAAAGAAAAAAAGAACAAACTATTGATAGATATATAGCATGGATGAAACTCAAAAGCATTATGTTGAGCAAAAGTAGCCAGATGCAAAAAGAGTACATACTGTATAATGCCATTAATTTGAAATTCAAAAATATGAAAACTAATCTATGGTGATAGAAATCAGGACAGTCATTAATTACCTTTGGTAGCTGACAGCAGTTATTAACTGGGAAGGAGCATAAGGGAACTTTCTGAGGTGACGGAAATTTTCTGTGTCTTGATCTGAGTGGTTGTTGCAAAGGAATATGCATATGTAAAAATGCATCAAGTTGTACAATTAAAATTTTTACATTTACTATATGTAAATGATATCTCAATATAAAAGAAAGTACAGAAATAACCAGATGGTAGGAGGAGAAAGTTCCAGAAAAGATGTGCATATAAAAGGCCATTGGAATGGTGAAATTTCTAGCCGGTAGTGAAGGATGGGAGAAGGCAGTGATCGGTAAAAGTATTACATGTAGAATGACCCTTGAAAGAGGGAAAAGCTTTGAATCTCAATAATTGTAGTGTGAAGGTAAGAGAAGGTAAAGAATATTGTGGGAGAGAAAACATTATATATTGCTGTTGTCTGAGAGTTTATATTTTCCCCCAAGTTCATTTGTTGAAATCCTAGCCTGCAATGTGGTGAGACTGGGAGGTGGGGCCTTTAGGAGATGCTTAGGTCGTGAAGGTGAGCCTTCATGAAGGTGAGCCACAGATGGGATTAGTGCTCTTATAAAAGAGTCCCTAGGGAGCCCCCTTGCCCCTTCCACCACGTGAGGACACAGTGAGGAGGCACCATCTATGAGGAAGTGGGCTCTCAACACACACCGAATCTGCTGGCACCACGCGCTCTTGGACCTCCAGCCTCTGTATTTATTATGAGAAATAAATGTTTGTTGTTTATAAGCCACTCAGTTTATAGTATTTTTGTTATGATAGCCCAAACAGACTACAACACACATTAAGTAATGAAAATCTGAACTGAGGTGGATAGAAGAGGAACAGAGAAGATGTGAGTAATATTACAGAGCCAGTGTGGGGCTGACTTGCCAACTCAAAAAACAGACACCGGAGCTCAGAAGAGAGGTCAGAGCTAACGATGGCTGGGAAGTCCTCCTTAGAGTGGTGACATGCTGCAGTTGCTAATAAATATTTGTTGGGAGGATGAACAAATGGACAGACAGAATGGTAGACGGGGGGGAGGGAGGAAGATTTAATCAGGTTATCAAGAGAAATAGATCGGGTTTAGCCATAGAAAATTGCTGGTATTTTACCATTTTTTTGCCTTCTAAAAACTGCAGTTTCATATGACTCAGTCTAATAGATAAGGAAAAAATAGGGGGCAAGGGCAGCTCTGTGGGCCACTCCTCCAATTAGGGAAAAGAAGAAAAGCCAGTGAAAGAGCAGACAGGGAAACACATTATAATAAAAATAAGAATAAAAGGCTCTATGCAGTTTAAAAAAATATATTGCCTTAATTTAAAAATGTCTAATTAGAAAAAAATTCTTGCCTAAAGACAGGAACTGACAATTTACAGAAGATCCACAAAGCCAAAATGCATATAAGAAATGTTCAGCATCTGGGGCGCCTCGGTGGCTTAGTTGTTAAGCGTCTGCCTTCGGCTCAGGTCCTGATCCCAGGACCCTGGGATCGAGCCCCACATCAGGCTCCCTGCTCCGCGGGGAAGCCTGCTTCTCCCTCTCCTACTCCCCCTGCTTGTGTTCCCTCTCTCGCTATGTCTCTCTCTCTCAAATAAATAAATAAAATCTTTAAAAAAAAAAAAAAAAGAAATGTTCAGCATCACAACAATCAGAGAAATAAGCATTAAAACCATGAGATACCATTCCAAAGATTTTTTTTAAATAATAGTATAAATTTCTGGCAAGCGTTTAGGAAAACATTCTCACACATTTCTTTCAAAAGTATAAATTCATACAGACTTTCTAGAAAGCAACGTATCTGTATGTATAAAATTCTCTAAATTTTTCATATCTTGTGACTCAGTCATTTCACTTTTAGGAATTTGTCCTAGAAATGTATTACATGTGTAATAAGAAAAAGCACAAAAAGATATATGTAGAAAGATGCTTAACATATCTTATGTATAATAAAATAACCTAGGCCGCCTGGGTGGTTCAGTTGGTTAAGCGACTGCCTTTGGCTCAGGTCATGATCCTGGAGTCCCAGGATCGAGTCCCGCATCGGGCTCCCTGCTCAGCGGGGAGTCTGCTTCTCCCTCTGACCCTCCTCCCTCTCATGCTCTCTGTCTCTCATTCTCTCTCTCTCAAATAAATAAATAAAATCTTAAAAAAAAAATTTAAAAAAATAAAATAAAATAAAATAACCTAAATGTTCAATAGTGACTTAAATACCCAATAATGGGGAATTTAAAAAAATTATAGTTATTTTTTTAATCATCCCTTTATAAGTATATTTAATGATACAGGAGAAAGCTCACCATAAATCTAATCTTCAAAATAACATTTTGAAGTTGTCCCCTTTTGGATGATAAGGAATATAAAGGTATCAATAAAAAGAATGTCCAAAAGAAAATTCACCCAAATCCCCACATGGCAGGAGTATAGTACATGTGTATTTTTGCTCTTTTTGTTTTCTTTTTTGTTTTTAACAACAGCAAGGATTGCCTACAATTTTAAAACAAATTAAACATTATTTATTTTAAAAAACACATTGCTCTCAAGTTGTCAGGCAGCACTCAAGGCAACCCAAAGGGTATGTGTGTGCCGTGGGCACATCTCTTAAAAGGAACGCACAGAGATAGGTCTACCATAAAGCTAAAGAAGCCCAAGCTTCAGGACACTTTCTAAGGGCACACAGTCCTTTCTAGAACTCTAGGAGGGATCCTAATAATGTGCCCACACGGTCATTTGGTTTTGTTTTTATTTTGCATTAATAAGCTATTTCAGCAGCAACAGGTTAAAACCACTGTCTCTTTCCAACACCATTTCTTCTCCATCATACTTTGTCTCATAGCAGGTGTTACTGGAGTTGCCCCGGGCATTTTTGGGGATCTGGATAAAAAGAAATTAAGTTGGGATATATTCAGTTTGAAGCTTC